TTCCCCCCCCCCCCCCCCTTCAACCCTTCCCTTCTCCCTCCCCTCCCTCTCCTCCCCTCCCTCTCACGCCCCTCCCTCCCTGCCCCCACTGTACTGCTGTACTGCAGAGGGAGCTGTACTTTTCAGACCACGCCGACATCATCCACTCCGCCACCATCCTGGGGCGCTGCCTGGTGCACTCCCTGGACGGATACCGGGTGAGGGGTGCGGGCGTACCGCCTGGCGTGGGCAGGCATACCGCCGAGCTCATAGGCCGGCGTACTGCCGAGTGCATAGACGGGCGCACCGCCAAGCTGTTAGACAGCAGCAGTGGATTCCGTGCCGCCGAGCACAGCTGTCGGCACATGATTCGCTGGGCAGCCTGCCGGCATGGGCATGGGATGGGGGGCGGGGCCGGGGCTGGGGTGGGGGCGGTGGCAGCTGCAGCAAGGGGCGAGGGCCTGCTGCCGCAGCGTACGCGCGGCGCGCAGGCCTCGGCGGCAGCGGCGGGCGCAGGGCGGCGTCCGGGCTGGGGGGTGATTGGGCGGCGCTGGCTGGCGATGTGCCACCTGGCGTGGTGCGTGACCCTGTTGTTTCTTTCTACCTTTGTCTTCCTTGCGCAGGAGCTGAGCATCATCCGACCGCAGGACTACTTCAGCCGTTTTTCCTTCTCAGTTGCCACCAAAGCTTTCAACCCAGAGTGAGCTGCCTGCAGCAGGCTCCTTCGGTGGCTTCGCTGCACGCACCTCCATTGCAGCTGGCAGCGCCGTGCCTGCAGCTCCTTTCCTGCATAAGCACGCTGCGCAATGGCTGTACTGCCTTTCCTGCCGCAGGCAGGTCACGGTGTACTGCCTGTGCCGCATGCCCGAGAACCCAGATCGGCCTCTGTCGCAGGTGGGTGCTGCAGAGTAGTTTTTGCAGAGTGCAATGCTTGCCCCCCGGTGTATTGTTGTGGGTGCTGTTTGACAGCACATTTGGTGCACCCCCAGCTGTCAGTTCTGTTTGGCAGGTGCCGCTTGGCGCGCAAAGGCACTGCACGCCACTGTGGCAGCTGGGCCGGCTGCTTGATGCCTGCTGTTGTGCCCCTGACCCTACCCTGATGGTTGCTGCAGTGCGACTGCTGTTCGGAGTGGTATCACGCCGAGTGCTGCAGTACCACGGTAGAGCACATAGAAGCCAGCAGCGTGTGGCACTGCCCCCGCTGCGAGCAGAAGCAGCGCGACGCGGCGCAAGCTGCCGCGGCGGCGGCGCAGGTCGTGGCAGCGGCGCAGCAGCCGCAGGCCGGCCTTGGCGGCTGGCTGGGCAGCATACTGCCTGCGGCGGGGGCCGGCCTGCAACCGCCCGGTGGCATGATTCAAGTCGGGATGGCAAACCAGCAGCAGCAGCAGCGCCAGCAGCAGCCGCCATACCATCAGGCTGGGGGCTGGTGACAAGAGGCGGGTCTGTGAGAGCCACGGATTGAGGACCAGGAGGGAGGGCACAGGGCGGGCCCGGCGCTGCGCAGTGTGCCACCGCCTCTCGTCCCTTGTGTGCATCCTGATTTCCCATTATTTGATGGCGCAGCACACCAGTGATGTGTAACCACATTGCATGTCGGTTGGGGACTGGCTGGGGTTGTGGAAGGGCATGTGGCGGGCAGCTGTGTACTTCTGCCGCCGGCCAGCGGTACACTTCAACCAAACAGGCAGATGCGCGCCCTGCGAGCTGTTGGCACCGCTTCCCTCGACGCATGAACGCAGGGCGCTTCCGCCGCCCTGCCCGCACTCCAAGCTCATACGCTGATGCCCAACTGAAGCCAGGTGCTGCGCCTGGTGTTCTGACCTGGCTGTGCAGCATGCCGCGTGCAGCTGCGCTCGCTGCGGCCGTTGATGCCGGCTGCCGCCGCCCTGCCGCCGCGCCCTCCCATGTTAGCACCCGCTGCCGCCGCTGGCTCTTCCCCCACTGCTCGCCCCATGCCCTGCACCCTCACCCTGCCCTGCAGGCCAGGCAGACGCGGCGGCGCACGCAATGGTGGCCGGCATGCCGGGCGCCCGCCCAACCGGCGGCCGCGCGGCGGGCAGGCTGGTGCGGCTGGCGCGCGCAGCGGCGGCGGCGTTCATCTGCCTGCTGGTGGTGCGGGCGTTGGCTGGCTGGCGCCCCGCCTCCCTGGCCTCCCCGTCCTGCCTGGAGGGCTGCGTCAGCGCGCAGCACGTCCCAGGCCAGCCTGCAGCGAAGCAGAAGAAGCGGGTGGGGTGGGTGGGGCACACGTTTGATGCCCGCCCGCCCTCCGGGCTCAGCGTGCTGGAGGCTCGCCAGGTGGCGTCAGAAAACTTTGGCAACCTGGTGTGGGCGTACGGCGCGTGGCAGCTGGTGGACCACAACGCAACGCAGCTGGTACCGCTGGAGCCGCCGGGACCGTACACCGCGCCCGTGGAGGTGGTCCTGCTGCCCACCGCCAACATGCTCATGAATGCCTCCAAATACGAGGCCATCAAAGCCTACACAAACACGGTGCTGGGGATAGCGGAGGCCGTGACGGCGCCCATCGTGCTGGTGGGCGTGGGCAGCCAAGTTCGTTTTGAGGACCAGCACGGCGGCGGCGGCGGCGGCGGCGAGGCGGCGGCCGCCTCCGACTTCTCGGCGGCTTCCACCGTGGTGCTGCACCCGCAGCAGGTGGCCTTCCTGCGGCGCGTGGAGCAGTCAGGTGGCCTCACCATCACCCGCAGAAAGTTCACGGCGGCGCTGGTCGAGGGCGCGGGGCTGGCGCCGGCGCTGCCCCTGGGCTGCCCAAGCCTGTTCATCAACCATGACCCCTCGCTGGGCGCGTCCTTAAAGCGCAAGTGGGAGGCGGTGGTGGCGGCGCGCGACCCCAAGCTGCGCCTGGCCGTCACGCTGCCCAAGGTGCACAAGGACCTGCCGCCGCCCACTGACCTGCTGCGCCTGCTGGCGGAGCGCGTGCTGGGGGCCTTCCCCGCCAGCATCGTCGTCCTGCAGACGGCGGACGACATGAACACGCTGCAGCTGCTGCACGACCGCCACGGCCTGTACCTGCCGCCGCACCGGATACGCTACTTCTACGATGTGGAGTCATGGGTGGACGGCCTGGCCGCCTGCTGTGACCTGGTCTGGGGCTTCCGCATCCACGGCACCATGGCGGCGCTGATGGCGGGAGTGCCGGGCGTGGTGATATCGCGGGACTTCCGAATCAAGGAGCTGGCGGAGGCGATGGCGGTGCCCAGCGCCGACATCCTGCACGCCCGCCTTGACCCCGATGCCTTCGACCTGTTTGACTTTCTGGAGGGCTCGGTGGCGGGCGCCTTTGCGGGCTTCGACGCGCGGCGGCGCCAGGTGGCGCGGGTCTATGCCCGGGAGTTCAAACGCCTGGGCCTGGCGCTGCACCCGGGCATCGCCGCGCTGGCCGCGTCGACGGGGTGACGCCGGGGGGCGGCGGGCTGCTCGGCTTTCGTTCGTTTTTTTGCGCCAAGTGCTGCTATGTGTAACCATTGGTGGCCGGGGTGGCCGGCTGGGCGGCGCGGTGGTGGCGGGCCCGCTGGGGCGGGCTGCTGGCGGCGCTGCGCTGCAGCTGCCTTGCGCAGCGGCGGGGTGTGGCCAGCGACCGCAGTGGCACTACTGGTAGCAGAGCGAAATCAATGACAGCGCAATGCCTTGCTCTTGCCTGCATCAGTGGCCTCTTCAGTCCAAGGCCCCCATCCTGCACATTTCAGTACTGCCCACGTACCGCCCCAAGAGAAACCTATGCGTTGTTTGCGCCCGATCGCCCACATCCACGCCTGTGGCCACTCTCCGCACCATGTCCGACACCGCCGCGCCCTCAGCTGAGCAGCCGGCTGCGCAGCAGCCGGAGCCCGCCGCCCAGGAAGCCCCAGCGGCAGCAGAGGCGCCTGCTGCTGCCCCGGAGGTCTCAGCGCCCGCCGATGGCGCGCCCGCCGCAGCTGCCGCAGCGCCCCCGCCCGCCGCCCCCACTTCGCCGCCGGCTCCCGCAGCGGGCGCCGTCCCTGCCGCCTCGCCACCACAGGCCGAGCCGCGGGTGCCGGTGCGCGCCTACCTGGAGCAGACAGGTGCGATGTGGGTGATGGACTGGTGGATGGGGCGGCGAGGCACGGGCCCTGCTGCCGGCACCAGCCACCACCAGACACGGCTGCCAGCCACCACCAGCCACGGCGTCGAACACATGCGGCGGGCCCTGCTGAGCCTGCTGGCCGTGGTGTGGGCGCAGTGGCTCCCGTGCTGATCGTCCCTCTTGCCTTGCTCCCTCAATACCTTGCTTCCTCATGCCTGCTCCATGCATGTGTGTGCAGTGGCCCCCGTGCTGACCATCCCTCATGCCTTGCTCCATGCGCTGTGTGTACAGTGGTGCCTGTGCTGATGCAAGGCATGATGGAGCTGAATCGCAAGCGGCCGGCAGACCCCATCGACTTCCTTTCCACCTACCTCCAGCAGCACAACCCGCGCAAGCAGGCCAAGACCGCGTGATGCGGGGCAGGAGCCTGTGTGGGCTTGGGCTGCCAGCCTGGCTCCAGCAGGAACAAGCTTGTGGGCCAAGCGTGCAGCACAGGCGCCCAGCCGCAGGGGGGGCCCGGCTGGCCGTGCACGCTTGCCAGCCGCCCCTTCCTGGCTGCCTGGAGGAACGCGCATGCCTGTACCTCGCAAACCGCCCGCTGACTTTGCCTCTCCGTCGCCGCCACCGCCCAAGACCCTTCTCTGCACGGCCGGGGCTGCCAGTTGTCGTGCGCTGAGCTGCCTGTAACGCCGCCGCTGCGTCAAAGTGGGGAGCATGGTTTGCAGGTAATATGGAATGCGGTTGACAGGTGGACCATGGTTGACAGTACAGTACAGAACAGTGCAGTACAGTACAGCACAGTATAGGAGCATGGGTTTGCCGTGGTCACTGCCAGCCGTCGGGGTGCCGCAGGAAGGCGGCCGCGGCGGCCGCGTCGGCGACCAGCGGGTGCGGCGGCGGCTGCACCCCCGACCGCTGCCACCTCGCCACGCAGCGCTCCTCTATTGCCCTCGCCTGCACGGCGCGTGAGCCCAAGAAAGAACACTCAAACAATCACATCGCATGCTGCCGGTCGCATCGCATGCTGGACCAAGCCGCACACCAAACACCCGCCATCAATCCCCAACGGGGCCGGCATCGGGCGCGCCCGCCTTGCCCGCAGCCTCACCAGCAGCACCGCCTTGGGCTCCCCTCACAGCCTCACAACAGTACCACCCTGGGATCCCATCCCCCCACAACCTCACCAACAGTACCGCTTTCGGCTCCCCCGCCGATGTGAAGGGCTCCGGCCTGATTGTGAGCATGCCGTTGCGGTTGCCAAACACCACATCTGTCAGATACCTGTCGCCTATCATGATCAGCTCCTCCGCCTGGCACCTGAGGGGGCAGCGGGCACAGTGGGGGTGGGCAGGCAGGCGGCACAGGTGGGGCAGGTGGAGGCAGGAGGGTGACCCCGCGCCCGCAGCAGAATGCGGGCCGGTGCTTGCCAGCCAGCCCGGGGCGCTGCCCGCCGCCTCGGCGTGCGCCTGGCTCGCACGCGGCAGCCCACACGCCGGCCACGGCGGTTGCCTCCCTTCCCCGGCCAGCCGCTCGACAGCCGCTGGGCTGGCGGCACAGCTGGACGGGAGCGGCGGCGCCTTCCCCCGCCCCTCCACACGCCCCGTAACGCACGCAAGCCAACGCAGTGGCGGCGCGATGCCTCGCTGCTCCACACCCCCGCACAACACACTCGAGAACAAGCCGCAAACATCCCATGCCTTGCGGCCTCAGGGCAGGTGCCAGGCTGGGGTCGCTTCAATCAGTTGCTTGACCGAATCCAGGGGCAGAGCTGGCAGGGGGCCCACCCGAAATGCCGCTCCATGTCTTCGCCGCCCCCCGAAGGCTTTTTCTCCCTGTGGCGCAGCACCGGGATGCCCAGCGCTGCTTCCAACGCCGCCGCCTCGCTGCCTGCACTCACGCGCGGCGGGGAAAACGCGACAACAATGTGTGGCGGCCCAGTCGGCGCCGCCTGCCTCAGGCCAGCGGGCAGCAGCAGGCAGACGCCCCCACCCTGCCCAGCCCTGCCCTGCCCATTCCCGCCCCGCACGCTGCCGCCCTGCCCACTCGGACCCCGCACACTCCCGCCCTGCCCATTCCCGCCCTGCCCCCTCCTACCCCTTACGAATGTAGAAAATGATGTAGAAAAGAACGAATGCAGGAAAGAAGAAGACCAAGAAGAACGTGCTCACCGTCTGGGTCGAACTGCTGCAGGCCTGCAGAGTTGCTGTACAGCACCAGCCGCCCGCCAAACACGGCGCGGCACTCGGCCAGGCTGCCCGCCGCGTGCGGATGCAGCTGCAGCTGGTAGGGATCTGCAGGGGGGCAGGCCCGCCGCGGCTGGCTGAGGCAGATCACTATATTGTTCGCTCCGTGTGGGGGGCAGCTCACAGCGTGCTGCGGTACCAGCTACCAGCCAGCTGCCAGCTGCGGTGGCGCTGCTGTGCTGCGGCAGGGCGTGCAGGGCTCGCTGCCGGAGCGGCGCCGCTGCTCCCGGGCAGCCGGCCGCGCGGCCGTTCCCCCCTGTGTGTGGGCTCGGGGCTCCGGGGCGGGCCGCCTCAATCAAATCAATCAATCAATCAATCAATCAGCAATGCTTTCATTACAGTTGTTCTCATGCAAGTAAAAACCTGCCTGTGAGAGTGTTGTCCTTGTCGAACACGCAGCCGCGGAATCCGGCGGCGTGCAGCGCCGCCCAGTCGACCCAACGGAGGTCCCCCACCGCCAGGTGCGGCAGCGCCAGCTGGCGCTCGCTCTGCGGCAGGGCAGGGCGGGCGCCACAGGTTAACCGGCGGCGCGACGATGGGCTGCGGTGGCGCTGGGGCGGCGTGCAGGTGCAAAGGCGAGCTGCACGGGTGGGAGCTGCTGCTGTGCGCCTGCGGCGGCCGGGCGAGGTCCGAGAGCGGCAGCGGCAGCGGCAGTGGACGCTGCAGCGAGGAGCGGCAGCGGCGGCAGCCCACCCATGCCACCCGAGCAAACAGAGCGATGCCTGCCGAGTTGAAGCTCTGGCCCAGCCGTTGCATGACGGTCCGCTCCTGCACGCAGCGCGGGATCGGGGCAGGTGCAGCAGGCCAAGAGGGCCTCGTGGACTGTTGCTGCCCTTGCCAGCCAAAACGGCGGCTGCAGGCGGCGGGCGGCGGGCGGTGCCGCGCTGCGCGGCAGGCACCTGCGCCGCCTCTGCTGCAGCCATAACAAGGAGCCGTGCTCTTCTTGTAACTGTGTGAGAGCGTGGAGGGGAGACCAGCGGAGGGAGGCGCTGCGAGCAGGGCCCCGCTGCTGCCATGTGCCCCACTGCTGCCCAGCTCCACCGATGTGCGTGCTGGGGCTCACAGTGCAAGATCTGAATCAAAGGATGTCCATTTGCTGCGCTTGACTTTCCTCGATACCAGTGTCCTTGCCCAGACCAAAACCCGGCCACAATTCACGGCTGCTGATCATCGCAACAGTAGAGCAGCAGCATGCAGCCAGTTTTTGAGCCGCGCTAGCTGGTTCTGCGCGGGAGTGATGGGCGCCTGTGTGTCAAAGGGGTCCGAGGCGCCCCAGGCTGCTGCACCAGCTCCCTCTCAGGTACGTATCGCATGTGGGGCTGTGTCCCTCCCTCCGGCACGCGCAGCGCCGAGGGTGAAATTCACCACATGTCTGCAGGCTTCCCCCGCTCCACCCCCGCAACCGGCGGGCGAGGGGGACGCAGGCTGGGCCTACCAGGGCGCCCCCCGCCCCGCCAACGAGACCGAGCGGCTGGGCCTGCTCCGGGCGCTGGGGGTGCTGGACAGCGAGCAGGGCCCAGACCAGTTCGACGCCATCACACGCCTGCTGTGCGGCGTGTTCAACGTGCCGATCGCGCTGGTGTCGCTGGTGGACGCAGGTGCGCGGTCCCGAGCGCGGCGGCGCCGGCGCCCTGCTGCCGTGCGCTGCCAGGCGCAGCCATTGCTGCCCCACCTGCCCCGCAGCGCAAGCTCTCACCCCAAGCACCCCATGCACCGCCTGCAAGGCAGGCCATGGCCGCCGCCGCCGCCGCCGCGCTTCCGGCGATGCCGCCTTTCCTGGCCCCACCCCTGGCCTTGCTGCCCTCCTTCCTTCCTGCTGCCTGCAGAGCGGCAGTGGTTCAAATCGGTGCAAGGCCTGGGGTCCTGCATGCAGACAGGGAGGGAGGAGTCGTTTTGTGCCTGGACCCTCGTCCCCGACAGCCCCTATGTGCTGGTGCGTGCGGCGCATGCGTGCACAAGGCAGGCCGGAGGGCCGGGCAGCCGCCGCAGCAGCAGCGGCGGATGCACGAGCTGCTGCCCTGCCCCGCCCCGCCACGCCCTGCCCTGCTGCTCCACCCTGCCCTGCCCTGCCCTGCCCCGTCCCGTCCCAGCCCCGGCCCCACCTGCCCCGCCCTGCCCCGCCCCGCCCCGCCTCAAACAAGGCCTCTCGTGCCCCGCGCCCCCTCCCCTCCCTCACCTGCTTTCTTTCTTTCTCCCAGATAGTGGAGGACGCTCTGGAGGACAAGCGCTTCAGGGAGAACCCGCTGGTGGTGGGGGAGCCGCGCATCCGCTTCTACGCGGGCGCCCCCCTCATCTCCTCGGCCAACGGATACCGCTACGGCACGGTGCGGCGGGTGGCGGGTGCTGGGGTATATGGTTTATGGTGCTGGGGGCTGCGGCGGGTGCTGGGTGCTGGGTGCTGGCCCCGCACCGCTACGGAACGGTGCGGCGGCTGTGGGGGGGGAGCTGGCTGCATGGGTGCATGCGTGGGGGTGGGGGGTGGGGGGCGACGCGGCAGCGTGTCGGTGTGTTGCGGGGACTGCACGAGTCGTGCATGTGGTGTCAGCCCGCGGCCGATGAAAACTAGAACAGGAAAACAGCAGGGCCGTGGCTGCGCTGCGGTCCCCCGCTGGCGCCCGGCCTTGCCGCTGCTTTCAGATGTAGCAAGCTGCGTATAATATATTGCCTGGCTACCTGCTTGCCTGCCTGCCTGCCTGCCCGCCCGTCCGCCCGCCCGCCTTCCTGCCTGCCTCTGCCTACCTACCTGCCTGCCCGCCTTCCTCTGCCTACCTCCCTGCCTGCCCGCCTTCCTCCCCCCCACACCACCACCTTGCAGCTCTGCGTGATTGACACCAAGCCGCACCGCGAGTTTGCTGCGGAGCAGTACAACATGCTCATCCAGTTTGCGGAGCTGTGCGTGCGGGAAATCGAGAAGGACAAGGCGAGGAAGCTGCGGGGAAGCCGCCGGGAAGCTGCAGAGAAGCTGTGTGTTGCAGTACCCCACTGGGGGGTACAGCATGCTGCCGCTGCCTGTGGGGGCAACCTGGGGCGGCTGAGCGCGGCGCCCCGGCGGCCCAGCAGCCCGGCTGTCGGGAGCCGCATGCTGTGGTGGTATGCTGTGTGGCGATGTGGTGGTACGCTGCGTCACCCATATGCTGCGGCCTGACGCTGCGCAGCCCCCTTCCCCCCCTCCCACCGCCGCGCAGCTAACCATGCTTCAGAAGCTGGTGCAGCAGTCGTCCACGCTCAGCGACGGCAACCTCACCCCACTGGGCTCGCTGCGAAGCAGCGCCGAGCCCTCTGTGGGCCCGCCCTCCTCCCAGGCGGCGGCAGCAGAGCGGCCGGAGGCGCACCACGGCCTCACCCGCGCGGCAGACTGCTTCAGGTGGGATTGTGGGTGGTGGGTGGTTGGGTGAGTGGCGTGGTTGGTTGGTTGGTTGGTTGGCTGGCCTGGTTGGCTGGGCACATGGGTGGGTGGGACGAGGCGTGGCGCAGGCGCAGGCGCGCCAAGCGCGGGGGCAAACAGCAGCCGGGCGGCTGCGGCGGGCGGGGGCAGGGGCCGTGCGGCGCGCTGGCCGCTGCCGGCGGCGAGGCGGCGGAGCGGGAGGCGGGGGCTGGCAGGGTGCAGGGGCGCAGCGGCGTGCCGCAGCATGCCGCAGCATGCCGCAGCGTGCGCAGCGTGCCACGTCATGCACATGCTCAGCGGTACGCCCGCCTGCACCGCTGCCCACCCCTGTGCCGCTTTCTTCCTTGCAGGGAGGGCGTGGTACTGGTGGATGCCGGCACCCCCGCCTGGTCGGTCCTGTACACAAACGACGCCTTTACGACCGCCTGCGGTGAGTCCTTGCTTTCTTACTTTCGTCCTGTCGATCTGGGCCTCTCTTTCTTTTTCCACCACCTGCGCCTCCCGCCCCGGCGCTTGCCCGCCAGCTGTCCGCCGCCCCTAGCGCCCGCCCGGCCAGCCGCCCGCCCGGCCCGCCGGCTGCGCGGCAATGCCTGGGCGGCGGCTGGGCAGCGCCAAAGCATCCAGCCGGCCGGCCAACCGCCGGCGGGCGTGTGTGTGCAACTTCTGTGTGTGTGTGTGTGTATGTGTGTGCACAACTTGTTTGCACAACTTGTGTGTATGCAACTGTGTGCAACCTGCGGTGCAGGGGTGTCTCGCGGCGAGGCGGTGGCGCGGGGTTTCTGGGAAATGTTTGGGGCGCCGGGGCTGGGCCCCGCTGCATTCCAGGTGAGCTTTCTTCCTCTTCTTCTGCTGATGATGCTGCCGCTGCCGCTGCCACTGCTGCTGCCGCTGATGATGCTGCTGGGTGGGGTGGTGGGAAGGTCTCAGAAACAGGGAGGACGTGCCTAGGCCCCAGGCCATACCCCGCCCGCCCCCTGCCCTCCCTTCCCGCCCCTGGCCCTCCTGCAGGAGACGGTTGAGGCCGGGGAGGCCTTCACTGCCACCGTGGGCCTGCAGGCCGCACACAGCCGCCTGGCGGTGGTGGACTTCAGGTGCGGCGCTGGCTGCCTGCCTGGCTGCCTGGCTGCCTGCCTGCCTGCCTGCCCGCCTGCCCGCCTGCCTGGGTGTGCAGCGCTGTGGGGGCCTGGGGGCCTGCCTGGGTGTGCAGCGCTGTGGGCGCGCGCCTGCCTGCCTGCCTACCTGGCTGCCTGCCTGGCCGTCGGGGCCGCTGCCGGCAGGCCTGGTGCTGCGGTCGCCCCCCCGCGGCGGCGACTCGGTCGTGTTGTGCTGAAGCTCCGCCGCCACTCTGCCGCGCTGCGTGCCGTGCTGCTCCCGCAGGCCGGCAGCTACGGGGCAGCTGGGGGGCCAGTCGCAGCTGATCGGTATCCCATCCAGCGTGGATTCCACTACCGTGGGGCAGCAGCCGGCTGCGACGGTGCCAACTGCTGCCGGGCCAAAGTGAGGGCCGGCGCCGGCTGCCATGTGTGGCATTGCTGCGCGCTGCATGCTTGCTCTGGGGCACCCCTGCACTGCATGAAATCTCCGCAGGCTGCCTGCCCTCGCCCTCACCCCGCCCTGCCCCGCCACTCCCTTCCTGGCTTTGACCTGCCCCATCCCTGCCCCCCCAAACCCCGCAGGTACTATTTCGGGATACTGCGCGCCGACGGCCGCAGGCCCGCCGCCGCTCCCTCGCTGCCGCCGGGCCCTTTCGCCGCCGCCGCCGCCGCCGCCGGTGGCGGCGCGGGTGGCTCCTCGCCTCCCTCCGGCTCCGCCTCGCCCGCGCCGCTCTCCATCTCGCGCGCCGCGTCGGCTGCGGCGGCCGAGGTGGCGGCGCACGCGGCGGTGTCGCAGTACAACGCCGGCGGTACCGGCCGTGCCAGCCTGGACAGCGACCGCAGCTTCTCGGGGGTGCCCACCTTCAAGCGAGCCATGCCCTCGGCCTTCACAGACGTGCGGCTGGGGCCGCTCATCGGGCGCGGCGCATACGGCAGGGTGAGTCTTTCTTTCTTGCTTGCTTGCTTTCTTCTTTCTTTCTTTCTTGCTGTGGGGGGTTCCTGCCGTGGGCAGGCCTTGCGGTGGCAGCAGCAGCAGCATGGCGCCAGCAGCAGCAAGCGTGTTGCTCAGAGCAGCCCTGGGGCCTGGCCCTGCCCGCAGCGGGCAGCAGGCAGCTGTACGGTTGGGTGAGGCGGTACCGTCGGGAGCTGCCGCCGGCCGCGGGATGCGCGGCCTGCGTGCCAAAGCCGCCCTCGGCTCCAGTCCAGAGCACCGCGCCAAGCGTGCCACGCGCCACATCCGGGCAGGCTGCTGCCGCTTCTGTATGCGGGAGCAGGAGCACGCTGTGCTGCCCCCCCGCTGTACCTGCAGGTGTACCGCGGCAGCTGGAACGGTACCACGGTGGCCGTCAAGGTCATCGAGACCACCGATGTGCTGGACGAAGACCTGGGCCTGGCGGCAGGTGGGCCTTTCCGCACTTTCTTCCTCTTCGCCCTTTCTTCGTCTTCCCCCTTTCTTCTTCTTGCTGTGCACCTCTTCCACCCGGCCCGCCCCCAGCGTGCTGCTCCCACCTGCTGCACCGTGCAGCTGCCCCGCAAACCCTGCGGGCAGCCTGCCGCTGCTCCGATACTGCTGCTCCAGCTGATAGCTAGCGCCCAGCGGCAGCTGCGGGCGGGGTGCGCCGGGAGAGGCTGCTCCCTCCAGCGGCCAGCCGCCACAGACCCGCCCCCCTTGCCCATGCCTGAGTGTACCGCCCCACTTGCCTGAGTGTACCGCATGCACCGCCCTCTTGCCTGCGCGTACCGCCGCAGGCAAGAGCGGCATCTTTGAGGCCGTGCTGTCGTCCAACCTGTCGCACCCCAACATCGTCCACACCTACCAGTATGCCTTCCGCCCAGTCACGGTGAGGGCCGGGCTGCGCTGCGCCGTGCTGTGCCGTCCTGCGCCGTGCTGTCCCGTGCTCTGCTGTGTTGGGTTGTGCTGCCCTTTTGGTGTGCACGCGGCTGCCTTCGCCGCCGCGCCCATTCAGGACGGCCCCGCTTGTCCGGGCCCTGACGTGCAGGCGGAGGAGCGAGAGGAACGGGTGTCGGCAGGCTCCTTCATGAGCGCCTGCGAGGCGGACAGCAGGGGGGCGCCCGCCCTGGTGAGCCTGCCTTTTTCTTTCTGAGCCACAAGACTCCACCTGACTGCGCCCGGCTGCCTGCCTGCCTGCCTTGGTTGCCTGCCCGTCCACCCACCCGCTCGCCACACCCCGCGCTGCCCCGGCCGCGGCGCAGGCGGCGACCGAGGTGTGGCTGGTGAGCGAGTTTTGCAACCGGGGGCCGCTGCTGACGGCCATCGAGCGGGGCGCCTTCCTCACCCAGCCCTCCTCGCAGTACGGCCAGCCCAACCTCATCTCGGTGCTGCAGGTAGGAGGAGGGAAGTGGGGAGGGAGGTGGGGAGGTGGGGAGGAGAGGAGCAGGGGGAGGCGGGAGGAGGGAGGCAGGGGGTGGGCAGATGTGAAGAGGCGAGGATGAGGGAGGCTGGGAGGTGTTTGTCCTGTGCCGCGCTTGGTGCAAGGAGCTGCTGCTGCGGCGGAAAGGCTGGCTGCTCACGCGCCGCCGCCGCTGCCGCTGCTGCTGCTGGCGCCTGCCTGTTACCCTGACCCCCCACCACCCCCGCGCAGACCCTGCAAGAGGTGGCGGCCGCCCTGCAGTACCTGCACCGCAGCGACGTGCTGCACGGCGACCTGACGGGCGGCAACGTGCTGCTGACGGCCTCGGACAAGGACACGCGCGGCTTCACCGCCAAGGTGGGTGGGGGTGGGTGGTTGGTGGGGGCCGAGGGGAGCAACGCATGAAGGTGTGGGTGTGCGCGCACGCCCTCTCCACACACACACACACGCGTATTTGCACACACTGAGCACACATGCGCACACACACTCAACATGCACATGCACCAAACACACACACAACCTCCACACACACAAACTGCTCCCTCCATCCCTCCACCAGGTGGTGGACTTTGGGCTGAGCCGCGTGTGCAGCGGCGACTACCTGCGCACCCGCACCCTGGGCTGCGCCGAGTACATGTGAGTGCGCGCGCGTGTGTGTGTGGAGAGTGTTTGCGTGTGTGCGCGCGGATAGTA